CTATATTTTGCAGACAGGACTCTCTCCCAGACCACAGACTCATACTCATAATACAAGTCAGAGCTTTATAAAAAAAAAAGAAAAAAGTAAGTTATGTTTTCGAAATTGGAGTTCAAGTTATTTTTACTTCCAATAGTGTTAACATGCTACACAGTTCAATGACTAGATTTTTTTTTTATTTTCACTGTAAGTGGGCTAAAGCAGTTAATTAAAAGTAGTCTAACATAAATGTAAATGCTGTAATTTGACTCTTCATTCTGTAACAGTGTCCATCTGCTCCAGCTCACTAAACACAGCAGACAAGTCTGCACCCAAGAAATGATAAGCTCTAAGTCCAGCATACAGCGGCTGAGTGAATGTGGCCTGGACTCTGTGGAGGAGAATCATGGTGTCAGAGACGCTGTAGAAAGACAAAACACCTGCTGTGTGACTCAGGTACACTCCTATTCTGGAGGACTGAGGACCTGAAAACCATTCACATACTCTTTTATGACTTAATTCATAGTGACTGGAAGAACACCTTAACGCCCAGGAGTTATCATTATTTCCAAATTCACTTTCATCTCCTGTTCTCATAATGCTTTTGTATGCGACTGCTACATACATACCAGACCCACTCCACTCTACCTCCCAGTAGTGACGTCCAGTCAGACTTTCTCTGCTCAGGACCTGAGACCTATTCATGAATCTTTCAGGGTGACCTGGATATGCCTGTTTTTTACTAACAAATGTTGCCCTTCTGTTCTCTTCAGATAATAACATCCTCGTGTTTACAGTGTCTGGATCCAGTGTGAGCTGAGTTGAAAACTTTAAGAATTCAGCTCTGGTTTTGGGCTCTGGTTGTGGTACCAACACATCCACATTAATCACTGTCCGCGAAAACTTTTTGACATCCCCTCTGAAGAATGCCCTGTAGCTTATCTTTCACCTCTGACACAGCAGCCGGCACATCCCCAAAATACAGCAAATGACGGGCTGTGGGACACCGTGACTCTGAAGATTCATTGAGATCTGAGAGCAGTGGAAACATATTCAGAAACTGGGTGTGATCCTCTGTGTGAGAGAGCTTCTCCAGTTCAGTATCTTTTCTTTTCAGCTCATTGAGTTCCAAATTCACGTCTTTTTTTCTATTCTCGATTCTTTGTTGAATTTTTTCACGACATGGATCGAGGTCTTTCTGTCTTTGAGTCCTTTAAGCTGATGCTGGGACTGTCTCGTGGGCTTTATGCTCATCTATGGAGCAGGTATAACAGATACATCTGTTATCAGTGCGGTAGAAAATCTTCATTACCTCATTGTGGCGAGAGCAGATGGTATCCTGAAGCTTCTCGGAGGGGTCGACCAGTTTGTGTTTCTTTAATGCGTCTACATTATGATGAGGCTGGAGATGTTGCTCACAGTAAGAGACCAGATACTGCAGACAGGATTTGATGGCTTTAAGCTTTCTCCCACTGCAGACATCACAGGCCACATCTCCAGGTCCAGCATAGCAGTGATCAGCAGGAACAGTATACAGTCCAGTCTTTTTCAGCTCCTCCACCAACTCTGCTAACATGGTGCTTTTCTTCAGGACAGGCTATGAAGGTCTGTCTGCACTGAGGACAGCTGTGGATGTGCTTCTGATCCTGTCCATCCCAGTAGCTTTTAATACACTTCATACAGTAGCTGTGTCCACAGGGAATAGTCACAGGATCATTCAGTAGATCCAAACAGATTGAACAGCAGAGTTTGTCGCCATCAATCTGAACTCCTTGATCAGCCATTTCCCCTCTCAGAGTGTGAATAGTTCTGAGCGGAGAAGGAAGGATTCAGACTCCCACAAAAGTTGACAGGTAGCAACTGAGACGTGATCAGGCAGATTAACCCTGCAGTAACCAAACGACTTAGCAACTAAAACGACTGTTTGTTTGTTTTTTAGGTCATTTTATTTTATGCATAATAAATTTAAAAACAGCATGATTTGTGTTTATCATATATATACTGTTTTCATTTTGTGCGGCAGGTTCATTAAACCTTTCATTCATTTTTATGCAGTTAAAAAGAATTATTGATCATCTAGTGTCATTTTAACACCAAATGAACTCTAAAATACTTTAATCAGCAACAAATTAAAGTATTAATTAAATATGCACGCTCGTGTTTAATTTGGCCACCAGAGGGGAGTAAAACATAACTACAAGATATTCTGCTACTGGGCGTATATCTATATTGGTCATTTCATCAAGTTCCCTCTAGTATATAATGTTAAAAAATGTAAAGATGGAATTCACAGCTGGAAATCGTAAATTATTTCTGAGAAGTAGAATATTAAAAATATCTATATGACTTAAGAAGCTGTAATTGGCAAATGCTGAGAATTTTGACTTAGACTTTTTGACCACATGATCTGATCCTCGTCATCGAAGTGCCATTTAATACAGTTCATACAGTAGCTGTGTCCACAGGGAATAACCAGAGGATCAGTAGATCCAAACAGATAAATCTGATAAATCCCAGAAAAAGAAATGGCATTCAAAAGTGTGTATTAATTCCTTTTATGCACATTCTTGGCAGTGACTAGAAAAGCTTAAGAAACCATCAAAAACAAAAGAAAGTGTTGCTGGAATTTTTAAAGTTTTGTGTACCCATAACTTAAAAAGCTCCAGCACTCAGCCAGTACAGTAAGTATATCCAGGTATGCTTTACTGTACTGGTAGTAAAGCCTATGCCTATATAGGGCCAAAACTGGCAGAAGAAATAAAGGTTGATGGAATAAAAAGGGACACTGGTGAAAATATTGAAAGGAATAGTAGCTCAATGTTTTTAAGAGCAGTGGAAGAGAAAGAGATTTATGACATAGTTAGAGGACTTAAGAACAAAACCAGTACAGACTGGAATGATATTGATATGGTAACAGTAAAGACAGTTATTGATGGTATTGTAAAACCATTAAAATATATATTCAACTTGTTGTTTCAAAAAGGAGTTTTTCCACAAAAAATGAAAGTTGCTAAAGTTATTCCCATTTACAAAACCGGTGAAAGGCATCATTTTACAAACTATAGACCAGTGTCAATACTCTCCCAGTTCTCTAAGATACTGGAAAAACTCTTCATAAAAAGATTTGACAGTTTTGTGGAAAAATATGAATTAATGACAGATAGTCAGTATGGGTTCAGAAGCAACAGATCAACAGCTTTGGCACTGATAGATTTAATGGAAAAGATAACGGAATGTATGGATAATAAGAGGTATGCGCTCGGAGTTTTCTTAGATCTAAAGAAGGCGTTTGATACTGTTAATCATGAAATTCTATTAAAAAAACTGGAAAAGTACGGGTTTAGGGGAGTGGTTTTGGAATGGTTAAAAAGCTATGTAGGGAATAGGCAACAATATGTACAAATAAATGAATATAAATCTAATTTGATGGATATAGCTTGTGGAGTACCTCAAGGTTCAGTACTGGGTCCAAAAATGTTTATTATGTACTTAAATGATATCTGCAGAGTATCGGAGATTTTAAAGTTTGTAATATTTGCAGATGACACAAATATACTGTGTGCAGGTGGGGAATTGCCACAGGTTTTGGAAATGATCACACAGGAATTAACGATATTAAAGAAGTGGTTTGATATAAATAAATTATCATTGAATCTAGATAAAACCAAATTTATGTTGTTCGGAAACCAAAAGAAAAACATCAAAGTAGAAATATGTGTTGACAATGTATATTTAGAAAGAGTAAATGAAATAAAATTTCTTGGGGTGATCATTGACCACAAGCTCTGTTGGAAGCCACACATTACTTATGTTCGGGGGAAATTGGCACTGGGCATTGCCGTCCTGGGGAAAGCAAAGCATATGTTGGATCAGAAAGCACTGCACATTTTATACTGTGCTTTACTACTGCCATATATGAGCTACTGTGTAGAGGTGTGGGGAAACACATACAAAAGTAACACACAAACAATAACTATAATACAGAAAAGGGCCATTAGATTAATAAATAATGTAGGGTACAGGGACCATACAAATGCACTCTTTGTCAAAATGCAAGCTATTAAATTCCAAGACTTGGTGAAGCTTAAAACAGCGCAAATAATGTATAAAGTCAGAAATAAATTGCTTCCCAAAGAAATCTGTAAATTGTTCCTAGAAAGAGAAGGTGGGTATAACTTAAGAGGGAAATGGAATTTAAAGATACAAAGTGCTAGAACAACTTTAAGAACTATGTCTATCTCAATTGCAGGAGTTAAATTATGGAACAGTCTAACAGAAGAAATAAAAGACAGTCAAAACATAAAACAGTTTAAAGTAAAATATAAAAACCTAATTTTAAATAAGTATAAGAATGAAGAAAACGGGGTTAACCCAGGATGGTAATGTTGCTGGTAATGGTGTTGTGGTTCTTTTTTTGCTTTGGTTTGTTTGTTTTTCCATAACTTGTGTATCTGCAAATATACACATTCTGTATTTTTCATATGAAAGAAACTATACTGTGGTGGGGCTTGCTAATTATGATACCCCTCCAATATCAACCCATCTGCGACAATCACGTTATAGTAAGTTTGTTTTGGTGTGTAACAGGAATTCATGATACTAATTTATATATATATATATATATATATATATATATATATATATATATATATATATACACACACACACACATAATACACACATTTTATGGTTAATACAGTAACCATAAAATCAAAAAAAGTTTGGCTTGCTTTTCATAGCCTTCCCTTTTTTTCCATTGCAAAAACCAACCAATTTATTCTGTCTCATTTCAGTATGGATTTATCCAGAGATGAGCACACGTTTTTTCTGCAACATGTTATGCAGCTTGCATGTTTTAATTTTGATTGGAGCCAATCAAAAAATGTGAGACACTGTGTCAACATGTGCAGCATGGAGACAAGCATTTAAAATGCTGTGCAGTCCCACATAAAGTGGGACACCTGTCAGTATTCTGAAGAAAATTTTTAAATTATAGCTAATTATGAATAAACAGCTCAGAATTCAATAGTGAGCAGACATTTAATATCAACAGTTTGAAACTTTTCACTCAAAGTATTGAGGTTCAACACCCAGACATCTGGATGGTAGGAAAACAGAAAAGAAGCTCAAATAAAGGCAGCACATTGTTCTTGTCCTCTGGGACAGACAGCTGGCACTGATCTCCGGACTGTCCTATGCCTCACAGAGCCGCCAGCTCCTGCATTAGCTTCTCCTTCTCCCGCTGCAGCTCCAAGATGCTCTGCTGGTTCTGCTCCAGCCGGTCCTCCAGCCACTGCAGCAGCGGCCCGCTCACCGCCGACATCTGGCTGCACAGGTTCTTGGTGAACACAGAGCCGTTGTGGATCTTGGTGACGGGGTCCAGGTGCGCCAGGCTGTGGATCTTGCGGTAGGTGTCCTGCTCCTCCTGGCACAAGATCCTCGGCAGCTCCACGGCCGACTCCAGGCACACCTTTCCGATGGCCTCGCGGGGCAAGACGTGGATGGGGATCTCCACACGCTCGTACTCGGAGCCCTTCTGCGCCTGCACGGACTGGAAGCAGGTGTAGAGCACCCGACCCGTCTTAGTGTTCTTGTCCTCGATGAAGCAGGAGAAGATGAGGCCCACGAAACACTGATCCAGCATCTGGTACATGGCCTGGGTGCGCACGTCGACGTGGGAGGGCCACACGGTGATGTGAGGGTGGGAGTGGTACCAGCCGACCACCCGCATCGGCCGGCTGGTCATGTCTGCCAGCCGCTCCGCCTCCGTGGAGGCCGCCGACAGCTGCTCCGGGGAGATTTCCACCCGGTCTTTCCTCTTGTCGGAGCGGCGGAGGATGATGACGGAGTGGATGTGGACAATACGAGAGACCTCCACCTCCCCGATACACAGACCCATCACCTCCTCCTTCTCTGTGCTCAGCGCGTGGTTCATGCACACCAGAAAGGCGTCGGACTCCAGGTGGACTGCGCTCACCGCCATTACTTTCCCTTAAATTCGGTAAAAGGAGGAAAAAAATAAACAAATCCGAGAGACACAGCCGTACTTCCGCGTTCTTACATTCTACGCCAAAACATTCCGTGTAAGTGCAACAGCCCTCTTACACAAGGGTTCCGCCTTTCGGTACCTTTATTTTATTATCACGATTAACTAATGAGGCACTCCATTGTACAGTTAATAATATCTGCGGAGGTTATATGCATAGAATTGTTACGGTAAATTAGGGCTTCTAAAGCTTAATAAATGCGACCTAGAAAATGTCGGAAATATATTTTTTTCTGTCACTTTCAATATGAAGGTTCCCACTCCAGCAGCTTAATGTTTTAAAATTCTCAACTGACGATTGAAAGAAAAAAAGAAAAGAAAAACAAAACGTCAGATATTCATTCATTCTTTATTTCTTGCTGACATTTTTTGTCTTTCGAAACATGATTCACTGCGAAAATTGACGCCTGTGTGGAAATTGACTTTTTCAATTTAGGCCATTGTTCTAAATGCAGTTTCTAAATCAAGAAATATTGTATTTGCTCCTATCAATAATCCAATGTGTAATACTAGGTTATTTTTATAAAGACTATATTAAAAACGGAAGGCCCAAGGCAGAGACCATTGCAGCCAATCAACCCCTGACCCTGAAAAATGAATCCAATGCGCCTCAAATAATCCATATTCTTTGTAAGATAGGTGCATTAAAATGCTCGGTTAGCTTAATTAGTTCAGTGGCTCCCACTAGTAGAGTAAAGCCTTGTAGACACCTAACACCGGCAGCTCCCTGGGCCATAGTCATACCGATCATTCAAAGTGGCCACGCTTCTAATTCCACGTATTAACCAAATGCATGACTTATGCAAGAAGAATCACATTACAGTTCTTTAAGAATATGAACTGAGCTTTTGGATAAACAGAATTCAAATGGATGACTTATTAAAAATCTTACGGTATTTATGAAAGAAGATGAAGAAGGGGAGGGGACTTTTGGTGTGGCCAGTAAAGAAATTACACTTTATGGCATGTAACTTTTACAAGTTTTATTGTGTTTCTTACACACTTTGTCTTAGCAGCGCAAAAATATTCCACACAACCAACGGAGTCCAAAGCACACGCAAAATCACCCCCAAGTTTCTGAAGAAGCCAAAATAAAACCTTGTCAAATATGTTACCTGACTTGGTCTTTGGGGTGACATTAAGAGAAACCACACATCGTTAAGCAGCCCTGCATACAATGACACAACAAATTTGTTCATCTCTTGTGTCCTGCATGCTAAACATTTGACCCATCCAACAAAAATATAAAGGTGAATATAAGAAGCAATTAAAAAAAAAAAAGCTTTGAATATAAGCAATAAAAACTATACTGTCTTGTACATCTTTATGGTTATAAATACCCAATTATTAGCACAGACGCATTGTGATTAAATGCTTCCTGGCTCCATTTAAAGCTCATAATGGCAGAGTCATCACAGTAACAGCATTTAGGACAAAGCCATATTCTTCATACTGAAGGGAAAGCATTGACAAAATCAAATATTTAAAAATAAAACTGTATTAAAATCGTTTTTACAGTAAAAGACACAAACACAAATTATACTGTGCTTTAAAATAGATCCATATTTCTGTATTGAAAATAAAGATTATAAATCACGGTTTTAATTGCAAAAGATGTTACACACTTAACAAGGATTGTGCAAATATTCACATACAACAAAACACACGGTTTAAACATTTCAAGCAACGTCTCTTCACTGTGCAAATGTTAAAATACATTTGAAAGTAACTGCTCTTTGACTACAGAGTTTGTATTTTAAGCTAATAATACTGGAGTGTAAACATGTGAAGAAAAGACTTGTGTCTGAAAACACACAAAGTCTTGAGCTTTAGCAAACTATGAAATAAATCACTGGATCTTCTTTACACTTGGTTTTAAAACCAGTCTCGGCTCAGTCCAAGTTTAAATGTGCTTTTCTATTTTTTAATAATTATCATAAACCTGACATGTGTTTAAAAAACTAAAACAAACAAACAAACAAAAAACATGATTTAACAGTTTAGTTATCAAAAAGAAAACATATCACAAAACAAACTGATTTCTGTAAACCTGCTGACACCCCCTCCACACCCACTATCACTTTACTTTAGTTGACTCACTTCCATGTTTGCTTTATTTAATTGCTCTGGAGATTTAGGAATGCCTGCTAATGTAAACAGGAGATGACAGCACAACTCTGTTTAGGCAGAGCAGAAGTGTTGCAAAATATGAAGGTGGGATATATTAAGTTTTGTTTTTTTTTAAAAAAGAAGAAGCTTTGCTGAATTTTCTTCTCTTTAGGAGATTAGTATGTTAACTCTAATATATATGTTTGTGTCAAATTATTCACAGAAGCATGGTTACATAGAAAAGTGTCCTACCTTTGTTTCAGTTCATTGAAAGCATCACCCTTTTAGTGGCTATACAACAGGAACAAAGACAAAGATAAAGCTGCTGTGATAAGCTGAAATGAAAACTGGCCAACATGCCACCTGACTGGACTCTAATGGATCACCTTTGATGCAATTTAAAGAGAAATATTGTATTGACCCACTGTGAGGCTTCTACTATTTAAATTTAAATCAATGCAGGCAGTGATGGCTAATAAAATATTTAACTTTATGTTTGGTTCATTCAAACTATTTAGTGCCATTTGAGTCCCCATGACAGAATCTATGTATTTTGTATAAAACGGTCAAATAATTATTTCTAAAAGCTTTCTTTATGCCTTTAACCCTCTTCTACCATAGAAACAACCATATGTGTCCACAAATATTTTTTTACAGTAATCACTGACTTTTAGCACAAGTAGCTTGAGCTGCTATGTCCCCAAATTGTGTCTTTGTTCAAGTTTAGTTATGGTTTTCAAGATTATTGTTACATATCCTTATTTATAATCTTCAGATGCTTTTTTGTTTGTTTGGTTTTTTTGCTATTAATACATCTTTTACTGCCTAAAGTCTTTGCCTGTCCCTCAGTTACTCTCATGGAAATCACTGATTTTCAGCACAACTTACACAGGACTTACAGGCACTAGTATTGTTTTTAGCTCGCACAGCTCAGCAGCAGCAGCAGCAGGAGCATCAGAAGAAGCAAAAACACCAAGACCCTGATACAGCGGCTGAGTGAATGTGGTCTGAACTCTGTGGAGGAGATTCACCGTGTCAGAGACGCTGTAGAAGGACAAAATACCTCCACTGTGATCCAGGTACACGCCTATTCTTGAGGACTGAGGGCCTCTGATTAAAGTGCTGGTGGCATTGTGTCTGAACTGATAACTGTTATGAAAACACTCTAAAGCCCAGGATTTGTCATCATTTCCAAATCCACTTTCATACCCTGTTCTTCTGATATCTTTGTAGGTAACCGCTATTGAAACTTCAAATGACTTCTTTTCCACCTCCCAGTAATGACGTCCACTCAGGCTCTCTCTGCTCAGGACCTGAAACATGTCAGTGAATCTGTCTTGATGACTGGGATATAACTGTTTTTCACTCATCACAGTTGCTTTTCTGTTCCCTTCAGATAGTGACAAGTGTGTGTTTGCTGTGTTTGGATCCAGTGTGAGTACTTGTGAGTGTTGTAAACATTCTGCTCGGGTCTTAGGCTCTCCTGATGGTACTGAAACACTAACTTCTTTCTCTATCAGTGAAATTTTGGTGGAAGTATCGGTAAAAATCGTGTGTAGTTTTTCTTTGGCCTTGTGCGCAGCTAGTGTCACGTCCTCGAAGTACTGCAGAAGATGCATGTTAATCCTGCGTGGGTCGGTTCCCTGATTTATGCATGTCAAAGAGGAGTAATTTTGAATAAAAGTTGCATGATCTTTTCTATGTGACAGCTGCTCAAGCTCAGCATCTCTCCTCCTCAGCCACCTGAGCTCCTGCTGCAGCTTGGCTCGAAGCTCTTTGGCTCGACTGACTTTTGTCTTCTGCTGGGATTTAATCTGCAACTTCACATCAGACCTCATGTTGTTGATAAGATGAAGCAACTGAGTAAAGATCTCCTCACTTTCCTTGAGAGCCTTATCAGCAGAATAATTGATGGCATCCATCTCATGCTGAAGCACCTTCATATCATTCTCTCTGTCCTGGATTCTCTTTTTAATCTTTTGTTGACTTGAAACAAGCTCCCCCTCCCATTTACTGCGTTCTTCCGAGGCCAAGATCATGCCGTGGTGTTTGTGTTCATACACTGCGCAGAGAAGGCAGGTACACTTCTGGTCTGTGCGGCAGAAAAGCTTCAAATCTTTACCGTGACAAGAGCAGATGTTCCCCTGGAGCTTCCCTGATTGTTTGATGAGCTTGTGTTTTTTATAGGCAGGGGATTCATAGTGAGGGTGGAAGTGTTGCCCACAGTAAGAGACCAGACGCTCCAGACAGGATTTGGTAGCTTTCAGCTTCCTCCCAGAGCAGACATCAAAGGTCACATCTCCAGGTCCAGCGTAGCAGTGATCAGCTTGGAGTTCAGTCATCTGTAGCTCTTCCACTAACTCTGCCAAGACAGTGTTTTTCACCAGAGCAGGCCTCGGTGTGAAGGTCTGTCTGCACTGAGGGCAGCTGTGGGTTTTCTTGTGATCTTCCTCATCCCAGTGATGTTTAACACAGTTTGTACAGTAGCTGTGTCCACAGGGAATAGTCACCGGATCCTTCAGCAGATCCAAACAGATCGAACAGCAGAGCTTTTTCTTCTCTACTTGAATATGTTGCTGCTCCATTTCACGAAGAGACACAGAATGTGAAACAGTTTCCCTTTCTTATACACACACCAACGTGCACAGACAGATAGGCACACACACGTAGAAAATACAGACCAAAGCTTAGTTCTCCTTTGTCATGTGCCTCTGCTTCTCTGAAATGAATGAACATTTATATGTTCATGTTTCCAACACCCAGCCCCTTTCCACCAGTGCAGTAAGAGGCAGGAAGTTGCAGACATGAAAGCTGTGGGGGAGGCTGTAACAGGAATCCGGAGGTGACTAAGGAGTTAGTCACATCCATTTCCTGGAAGGGACAGCATGTATTTACATTCCTGCCGCATAAAATTAATTCATCATGTTTGTTTTCAT